GCGCACAAGAGAGAGAGAGAGAGAGAGAGAGAGAGAGAGAGAGAGAGAGAGAGAGAGAGAGAGCTCCTGTTTGTTGCCAATAAATGCGTGTGAAAGATCTGCGAGATTTGAGCACACAGAGAGAGAGACAGAGAGAGAGAGAGAGAGAGAGAGAGAGAGAGAGAGAGAGAGAGCAGTGGCAGACACCGAAACCTCACGCTTAAAGATACACACACAGGTTTTATTGTGATCTTTCCAGGAAAAATATTTAATGAACTTTTAAAAGATCATTCCAACCGCGAAACAGATAGCAGCGGTAGTTTGACCCATTTGCCATTTTTTGTCCTTCAGCCTCCCTCTCTCTCTCTCTCTCTCTCTCTCACACACACACACATTAGGGGACACCAACCACACCTGGGACTCTCCCGCATCTACCTCATCCTCTCTCTACTCTATGTATAATATGGGGGAACACCAACCACACCTGGGACTCTCCCCAGCCCCCACGTGGAGAGGATTGGCACCACAGCAGTGCTGCGAGCAGGGTAATCAGGGGACTGGCCATGCTAGTGCCGACCATCTCTGGCCAGTCCCTCGCACCTCCCCCTACCCCCCTATAATAACCCCACATTAGGGGTGTCTAATGGCCAATATCGTGGCAGCAAGTCGGATACATCTGTTCTGGATCTTTGGTCCGGATGGCCATCTTGCAATGCGAGGGTGCAGGAAAGAAGACGCATAGACGTCCAGATTCAGGCGTAGAGGAAGCTGGACGCTGCTAGTGGGACTTGTGGCTCCCTGAGTGGTGTTTGAGAAAGCCTACCTCACTTCTACTCACGGTATGTGTCCGTCATATCTCGTGCATGGCAACGTGGCCAAGTGAGATATTTCTCAAACACGATTCGGGAAGCGAAGTCCCATTAGCAGCGCTGCCTCCATGTGGCCAAGTGAGATATTTCTCAAACACGATTCGGGGAGCAAAGTCCCATTAGCAGCGCTGCCTGAATCTACTCGTGCATGGCAACGTGGCCAAGTGAGACGGTCTCGTGCATGGCAACGTGGCCAAGGGAGATATTTCTCAAACACGATTCGGGGAGCAAAGTCCCGTTAGCAGCGCTGCCTGAATCTGGACGTGTTTGTGGACATGTTCATGAATCGCATCAAGTTTTCCTCTACCGCACATCTCAGAAAACACCTCCGGATTCAGGCATTGAAGAAACTCAAGGCTGCTAGTGGGACTCAGCCCCAGAGGTCATCCAATCATTGGCCTCTTTTCTCGGATTGTTCACGAGCTCCCCAACCTCTGTTTTAGACACGTAATGAGCATTTTGCTACCTTTTTTATTTGGGAAAACAATGAAAGTCTGACAGAAAAATAAAAATAAAAAAATCGTTTTTTTCTGTAACGCGCAGATAGTGGAATTCACAGCAAAGACTACGAGGCACCACTTGTGCAAAATGAGCACTACCCTTCGGAAAGATGCACCGCCATATTTTTTGTAGTTTATGCATTCGGTCAGTTGTGCGTCGGTGCGCTATTATTGGGCCTCGCTCCACTACTCTATAGACTCCCAAAGTTTTGAGGCATTACACTCCCGAAGTTTTGAGAGTAAGAGCCTCGTTCCACACCACTTGAGAACTCTTGACACTTTTTTAATTAAACCATCCATAGCTATGAAGTCCTTTTCCTAATAAGTTCATCCATAGCTATGAAGTCCTTTTCCTAATAACTTCAAGTGCGCCCTGATCGCAAAATTGTGATCAATTTACACTACGCAGCAAAGTTTCGAAAGTAAGAGCCTCTTTCCACACCAATTGAGAACCCTTGATTTTCAGCCGTGCCCTGATCGCAAAATTGTGATCAATTTACACTACGCTGCCTCCTCGTTCCAATGCACACCAGAGACCGCACTTGAAAATGTCACACTCGAAAGGAAACACCCTGGCTCCCCCTTCTGCCGAGACCTACTGGCATGTTTTCGATCCAGTAGGCCGGCACCCGGCCTTCAGAATGTCCACCTATGGTGTGCTGTTTGGTACTCTAGGGACCACTCGGGGTGAGGTGCAGTGTGGGTGTGCGCACGCGGCGGGGTTTCAAATTTGAAATTTGTTGGGGGTACAGTGCAGCGCTCCGCAGCCTACAGGATTGCAACACGTGCAAAAGTGGACACAAAGCAGCGACAACTTCCTCGCATGGTCCGCCATGCATGTCGCAGCACAGCACAGACTACAGGAATGGACAACGAAGGTTTGCAGAAGCATACGTGCGAACGCCGGTGCAAGAACCTGCAGCAAGCCATGCTTGTCCTGTACTGCCATTTGGACCTGCCGCGGTAGAACATCCCTCACCCACAACAATCCACAACAATCCGTCCCAATGGCTACGTGCAGCTGCCGTGTGGCACCCGATTTGAATCTTCCCAATCCAATGACGGTGCACCGCACGCTACAACGGTAACGGTGCGTGTACCCCAACGGCCCGCCAAAATCCACAGCCACCACCGCCCACAGTTCATGGCTGGCACCAGGTACCACCACCGAAAGGACAGGCCATGAACCACAAATGCACAGCATTAAAAAAAAATACATAAATAAATAAATAAATAAAAACTGCCCCCACGGCTGAAACCCAAGGGTAGCTCTTGAACTCAAGGCACCTCCGGGAGGTGACTTGAACTCGAGTGCGATTTTGCCTGGGCTGCACTCGAGTTTCAAGAGCCGCCACTTGAGATGCAAAATGCGAAAACAGAAAAGCATTTCTCTAGAGCGGGGTGGAACGACGGTTTTCTAGCATCCTCCCTCCTACCCCCGCTCCAGCCTCTTTTTTCGCGTGAGCCGCCTATGCCCCGACCATCAGAACGAGCTGGCGCTGTCATCTCGCGCTGTTGAAGGGCTTTCATGTAGCGCTGAGAAATTCGTGACTGCTTCTGAGGTTCTCGAGTCTGGAGTGTAAGTGGAGCAATGCTTCCTTTTTCAAGAGTTCTAGTAGACCTCTGACAGCTCTACAAGCACTCGCTAATTTTTCTACTCACAATTTGTTTTGTGAGTCTAGTGTAGAGGAGCGAGACCTACAGTGCAGTGGAGCGGGCCCTTCGAGACCACCACCATACGCTGTTAGGACACTGCAAATGCAGTCCCACATCCACGAAAGTGCTTGTCGCGGGAGCATAAGCTTCGAGAGTAACCAGCTGGGCTAGCTCAGCTGGTACATATGTTTTCCTGAACTCTTCAAATACAGACATGAGACCGAACTCCACTGAAAGCAGCAAACCGAAATCACCCAAGAGCCTTAGCTCAGTGGGTACAGCCATGAAGTGTTGAAATACAGATGATGGAACTTGACGAGTAAAACCAACTACTAATGAATTGCTTGGGGCCGATTAGCTAAATGATATTATTTCAAGGCCGTCACCCTTTTAAACAGGAAAAAAAAGAAAAGAAAAGAAAAAAAATCATAACACAAATCCCAATTCATAAAAAAAAAAAAAGGTACTCCTTTTTTTTTTTAATTTAAGCATGTATCATCCTCGAAAGCGCAGGGGCCAAATGTACAAAAAACGAAAACAAGCGCAGAGGCCAAACTCGCAAGTAAGGAAAAACCGCAGGGGCCATGCTAATCAATCCTTCTGTATCGTTCCAATTTTGACGGATGCCCCTGAGGACACCCTCTCCTTTCTAGTGTGGACAATCAAATGAGCTGAGTCCGTCGTATCTACCAAGAACAGAAAATACTAGTCAGCAAAGGGGTCCCGCGTTCAAAGACAAGCAACACAAAACACACAAAGCAACTAAACAAAGCTTAAACGAAGGGTTTCACAATTTACACCGTCAAGTTCGACTCATCTAGCCGTAGTTCTGACCACATGCGAATACATCAGCCACGATACACACACCGTGAGTGGTCCTCCAGAATAAAACAACCAAAACCCCACTCCCAGTACACTCTTCGCCCGAATAGAACGCCCTATCATGAACCTGTACTATTTTTCCAGTCCAGATGCGGAGATAATAACCGGCCGTCGAATTGCTGTGAAGACGGCATGGCAGATGTTCTCAGCTTCCCCCGTTCACGACCGCGCGATACTACGTACCTCCATCTCCATGACTCCCTTTTCCCCGCTCTTTGCGAATCTGTCCCTCTTTCCAATGATTTCGACAGACTACCCTCACATTCACGTTTCCATTCATATTAATCAAACATAAAGTCGACAGGCCCATTAAGAACATATTGAGGCATATTAGACGTATCGAGGCCCACTAAACCACCTGTACTTAATGCAGCTCTCGGCCGCAGGGATAATAGACTACAAAAAACATTTCTAGTCAGACGAATTTGAGCGCTCCTGTAGTAGGCCGTAATTCCTCAAATTGTGGCTTGTTAACGGGGGCACGACTCTAGGAAGTACTGGTGTACAAGGTCGCGCAAATGGACAGGAGCCCTTAATTACAGAATATAAAACAGCAAAACATCAATGGCACTCAGAATTATTTTACTACTTCATTTTTTTTGTTTTTCTCGTACGAGTAATATTGGCACTTCTCGAGAAATCCTTGTAACGGCGGTGACACGTCCTCGGTCATGGTTCGGCCAACCACCACATCATTCAAGCCCCAACACAAGCCGTAGCACACCACGGTGTTTTCCAATTCGCCCCAACACAAGCCGTACTCCACATATCACCCGCCGTTTTCGCTTTATTCATTTTACAACTGACACACCGTATCACACCACGGTGAAATTGCAGACCCACCCAGATCAAACGAAACACATGAAAAACTCGACCACATCATTCAAGCCCCAACATAACTGATCAATATCTTCAGACGTAACCAACCTGGATCATAGTACCAACCGTTTCCACTCACCGCCCCTGCCCACCCCCTCCCACCACATATTATTCAAGACCCATATCATATATTCAATATTCACATCGTTAACCGACCTGAGAGGCACAACTTCAGCAGTTCAGTTCGCGTCTTCTCCATCGCGCGTCGTTATTGCCCATAAGACACATATACGACAACAACCATCGAAAATATATCACTTCAATTCAGTTCCTCGTCAGAACATCACACAACGATCCTTCCAATTGAGGCGATGGCGATTAACAAACTGAAGTGTCTAGCACATCGACACGTCGACTACGAAATTGCAACGTGCCCTGATTACGAACCAGCCAACCAAACGAACAGAAATTGCACATAATCGCTTCGCCACTTTTCAACGTGCCTTGATTAGAAACCAGCCAACCAAACTGTTTCCGTACAACTAAGAATCAACAATAAACAACTAAGAATCAACAATCACGTTCTTCATCTACGCACGCGTGGCATCTGCTATTCCGTACAACACAAACTACCCTGCGCATGAGCGTTATTTGAAGCAACAATCACGTTCTTCATCTACGCAACGCGTGCCATCTGCTGTCATAACCTCTCACCCATCAACAGCTTGCTGCTTACACCTTTCAACCACTGCCAACAGCCCTCTGTTCTACCAAAGGCGAAACGGCTTCGTGAGCTGATGCACACTTCGGATCGTACGTACGTACGTTCGTTCGTCAGCTTTTGCGTCGGTTACGTGGGCTTGGCCGTGAATTACGTACGGTTCATATGAAGGTGCGTTCGAGAGCCATAGCCATGATATATCACACACACATTTTGTCATCATATGTCACAAAATACCCTCAGACTATCAGATGACTATACCGAACAAACAAACCGCCCCGTTACGCTAAACAAAAAAACAGCACAACGCTCAACGCTTCCCTAACATCGGTGAGCGCCGATGCCCAGCGCGAGTGCGCAACTAAGCACACGCCTATCAAGCTCTTAAGCGCACCGCAGGCACCCAATCGATTACCCACCACCTGGTAAACGCAAAAGCCAAACACACCGCGAAACACTAATCAGAAACAAGTCAAAGCACAGAAGAACCGAGAATCACACGATGGAGGACTCGAACAGAGACACACTGCGTAACGACATAATAGCAGACAACTAACCGAGACACACTACAACCAACAGAGATAACAAGCGGGACAGGCAGGCAAAGGGAAAACCGAAGAGAGTACAAAACAAGTCGGGGAGTCGGAACCTTGCGTAATATTACACAAGCGTGAGGATTACAAGCAAAAAAAAACAGCAGAGACACACCGCAACTAAACGACAGCGCAACTAGAGAGAGAAGCAGGCGAAGCGAAAACCGAACAGAGCGTATCGTCAGCGTGATGATCATCGAAGCAACAAACCAATAGAGACACAGCCCAGCTAACCGACGACAAGCAGGCGAAGAGAAACCCGAACAGACAGATAGACAGACAAAACCTGAGTGAAAAGATACAGGAGTTAACAAAACGCGAAACAAACACGACTGGAGTCTAATTAACACTAAACAAATTGTCCTGATTGATCTTCCTACTTGACAGGACGTCGTCGACCATGAACGCAAAAAATCAACAGCCTGAACACAACCTGCGCCATGGTACCAATAGCGAGTTAAAGTCACAAGGAGTTACATGACAAGTCACACACAATTTTCTACTTCTCCCTCGCCACGGTCGCAACAGCGAGTGCAAGTGACAAGGTCCACACAATTCCACCACTCGCTCTCCTCTTACACTGTTGCTAACCATTGGGGGCGGTAGAACGCCTTCACAAACGAGCGATATGAAGCCGAAGCTTCGGGAAACTTGGGTGGACGTCTCACCACCATGGCAACCGTCAGCACAGGCGCACCTCACGGACACATCAGTTAATCCTTCCTCTTCAATCAAGCAAAGCAGCAACCGAGAGCGAAGCGTAGACGACTGCGCGCGAAGGGACATCAATATCCCCCCCAATCTAATAAGAACGAAACGACCATTCACAACATCGATAGCAATCGCTTCTCAAGCTCATCTTGATCAACGGCCGCAAAACTGCGAAGTGCCTTAATCGCGCCGTTTTTTGCATCCACAAATTTGAGCAAATCGTGGTTTTCTTAACAAGTCCATCAAAGAGAGAACTAATTCAAACAGATTAACAACGTCCGACCATTCCCAAGAAGACGCGGTACCTACACACCGATGATGACGCAGAGATACCCGATTCGCGCCGCAAGAACACCACAAGTCGTAAGACAATCGTCGCTTTTCGCTTCCGCAGCCGCGCTCATTACCAATACTTGGTGCTTCGTCGATACTTACTTCACATACCGCCACGGTGCCTCAACTAACGCAGCGTAGAATCTTATCACCAGTTAAGGCGATTATCGCTTTATCGCTTTCGCCCCCGCGCTAATTATCACTGTAGGCTTCGACGCTGCACTCTCGCTTCACATACCGCCACGGAGCCTCAGCACGAGATGAAGGGTAGACTCTTTCTGGATGTTATAGTCTGCGAGGGTTCTGCCATCCTCCAGCTGCTTACCAGCGAAAATAAGGCGCTGCTGATCTGGGGGGATGCCTTCCTTGTCCTGGATCTTCGTCTTCACGTTATCAATGGTGTCGCTGCTCTCGACTTCCAGAGT